ATTTCTACACATAAGAAAAAATTAATTACATTTAAAAAATTTGATAATTATTATTTGTATATATAATTGTATAATCATATAAAATATATTGTGTTTTTAGAAAAGTTTTTCCGTTTTAGATAAGTTTTTATCTGCTAACAACAATATTCATGACTCAGGTGCTATTACGTATAAAGATAATATGTATAATTTATAGTTAAAAATATAAAATGTATCTTTTGTTTTAATATATGTATATATTTTTTCAAATGTTTATCGTAAAATCTAAAAAAAAAGGTAAAAAGAGGCGCCAAGTACACGCGCTAGTTGTGAAAAACTGTTATATGTATTTATAAAAAAAATTTCCTAGAAAAATAATCGTAAAATCTAACATTGTCAATTATATGTATATCAAATCTTTATTTTTAATTCTTTTTAGTTTTCTTATATTTTAATTTGATATTTATTTAATGTATATTAAAACAATGATATCAGAGATAAAGAGTATAATGAAAGAAAGATGTAATTTTTTTTTTGTTTGCTTATATAAAAGATAAGATGTAATAAAGTATAAAAGCTTATTATATTTTCTTTTTTTTTTTTAAATCAGCGACACTTATTAACTTTATTCTCTTCATTAAATTTTATTATGCAATTTCTGCGGTGAAAGTCTATAATGTTAGAAAGTGTAATGCTTTAACTATAATTTGTAACACCGACCGCTCTAATATGTAGAGCATATCCAGATATTTTTTCGATATTTGATATACATATATCTAATTTAATATATCCAATTACATTTTGTTTGAAAATTAAAACAATGTATCATTTTACAGAATGTTTTAGAAATAGGTGGCTCACCCTCCTGCCCCAAACTTTAAGAGTATATTTTACTCATCGTAAAGATAAAAAAAAGTCATATGGACGTGGGTTTGGAGAGAGTACCGCTTTGTTTCCAAATTATAAATATTTTTGGTAAGATGTTTCGCATCGACGTCTCATAGATTGACTCGCATTCATATGACTTTTTTCATTTTTACGGTGAATAAAATATGCTCTTAAAATTTGGTCACCTATTTATAAAATACCCTGTATATATATATAATACATTTTAAGTAATTAACATAAACTATATTACAAAAGTTTCTCATTTAACGCATTGAAAAGTAATTAGTAATATCAAAAAATACACACATAATTAATAATTCTTTATAAATATATTTACGAAATCTCTTTCTTTTTCTCTCTCACTCTCTTAAAAAATGTACATTAAAAATAAATCGTGTTTTTCTTATTTCTTCGCGTCTTAAAAAGCAAATGCAACTTGTTAATAGATTCACGATGAAGTCCAAAGGAGCTTGGTTATTACGAGCTACTATAGCGTTACTTCTTGGGGGATCCGCGAGCATCGAAAAATTAAAAAACATATATTCATGGAAGGCTTTGGAATTTGCCTTCCCAAACGAGGCTGCCAAAGAACTTGCCATACAAGAGGGCCACTTTATTCCCGGGGCACCGGTGCCGATCGACGTGGATTTTTATTACAGAGGTATTAAATAATTTTACATTTTTTACTCTTTTACATTGTAAAAGCGTTTGAAATAACAAATCATTTATTAGCGACAAACAAATCTGTTACTCAATTATTTATTGTATGAGATATATTTTAATATTTATTTTATTTTATTTTATTTTATTGTTAATATATTTCCTCTTTTTTCATATTAAATTAATACCATAAAAAATTAATATTTTTATTTGTTTAATAATTATTACTTTTTTTATTTGCTAAAACAAAAGTAATTATTGAATTGGACGAATATTGATTTGCATAATTGAAAGTGCTCGAAAGATTCACACGATCGCATTATTGATCAGTTATAATCTAACGGTTCATACTGGTATATTTCGCGCTCCTTCATTATTTATGCGATTTAAGTAACAAACATTTTTGCATAATTTCTACGCAGTTTCACATCGACTATCACATTATACTAATATATAATCCTTTCTTATACAACGATAATGTGATTTTATTTTGAGCATAAAGACCTACTTATAAAAACATAAGTTGCATTAAGTTTTATTACGGAAATGCAATTTTTTGAAAATTATTTTAAAAATATATATAAAAGCGAAAAGAATAGAAGGTAAAGAGAACAATGTATACTTATCACAATAAAAAAAGTATTTCTTATAACAAACGTTCAAAATTAATATTTTATATTCGTCCAATATTATATAAATTTTTGTAATTCTATAACAAAATTAAAAATAAGAGATCGATTATTCGAATATCTTTTAATCTAAAATTTTTTAATCGAAATCGCTTTATTAGGTCAGATCATGACACATTTTCACTTATCTTGTTTAACACTTGATAACCATTTCAATGAATGCATAGCTAAGATCGGATCCGTTGTATTCATCTCGATACCAAGAATTCAAAAAGGAGTTCCTGTCACTCTCGGTTACGTCACGGATAATGTCTCTGCCGAGGGAAATCCAATAATTGCACCTTATCCGAATTGGGAATGGAATAAATTGGGATCCTGCGAAGCGATCACTAGCGTATTCAGAATGCAGGTAACGATAGAAAATTTTATATTTATATCTTATTAATTCGGGTTAAAATATTTTGGGCTCATAGTAAATATTTTATTCATATATTGCGCTCAATAATAGGATGCCATCTTAATTTTGATCACGTAATATTTTTTAATAGTTCAGTATCAAAATTAAACATTATAATATTGCTTAACGTTTTGATTAAATAAATCTTTATTTTGTTTTATTGTTATAATATAAGAAAACTAAACAGGATCGGTATAAATTGCAAAATTACATATATTTTATATAAAATTGTACATATTTCATATTCCATTTTATTATCGGAAATCGCACCTCGTTTATTCAAAGATAAGCACGTTTCGTGTGATGGCATGACACTATATGGAAATAATGCCTTCATTATTATTCCAGAAATGCGTATAACAATCCGCGAACGTGTGATATAAACGAAGAATTTCTTATAAACGGCATATCAATTATTGTAATTGTTGGCATTGACCACAACAAAAAAGGTGGAAGGCTTTTTGATATCTTTTTTACGATATTTTCTTTTACAATGTGTGACTATCGTCAAGTATCTAACTGATTTAGGACGCGCGTGACTTAGAACAATACTCTCTTAGCTGATGTTTCGTGTCGATTGAGACTAGGAAGAAACGCGAGCTTGATAAATATTATTTCTCCATTTAATGTCGAGTTCCCTCACATACACGTTTAAAATGTATGATATAATTAACGTTTAAAATGTATAATATAATTAACAAATTACGTATACACTTTTCTATTTGATAAGTGAAAAATATAGAATAAATTTTTGATATAAAATAAATTTTTGAATTTTGAGAAGAAAATAATTTTTAAAGTTTTGAACATACTAACAATTATAAACTTGTAAAAAATAATGAGTTTATTCGCGAAATATTATTTTTACTTGAATATTGTGACTTTAACTAATAAAAAAAAAAAAAAAATTCAGCTGTGTACATTACGACATAGAATGTCCTGCATGTGTATCGAACGTATGATATACCGTTTGTTTAGAAAGTATTACGCGAGAAAGATATCGTATTACGAGTTATACGAGTATAAATGAATTTTATTATCATTATTATCTGATTTACAACCGTGTTACTTACAATTTCCATTTTAATGATGAATGTGCGAAGTATATAAATATGTATTGTATATAAATGGAAAAACAAACATCGAGGTAAATATGTTAATTTCTTCGAAGCGAAAGTAACTGCATATCGAAAGTTTAGAAGTAACATACATAAGAAACATTTAGAAAATAATATATTTTTATTAAATTATAATCATATTTCTTTAATTATGATTTTTAATTATAATTTTCAAAATTATGATTTCTTTTAAATATGATTTATCTCTCTTCAATTATAATTTTCATGATATCAAATTACTTTATATAAACATTAATAAACACGACATAAATTAACAATCATCAAATTTTTTTATTAGAAAAATACCAACTTTAAATTGATCAAAGAATCTGTTTATAGGCAGAAAGAAATGCTGAAAAACCTGTATATTTATTTCTATGCAAAATTAATTCTTATTTTTATAATACAATACTTTATTAAAAATATTATGTATGCCACGTTGCTAATAGTTATATATAATATAATTAATTAAGCCACAAAATTGAATAATTAAAATTTAATAGCTGTCTTATTATTTTGCGTCTTTGAACATTATATATCCAGAATGTCAATTATATTGTATCGTAAAACTTGATAAGACGATTTTTCTCATAGATCAGCTGATTATCAAGCGTTCTTATTAAATGATAAGGGGACAAAATATTAACTGTAGAAAAGAAATGTGATTGCAGGTGGACTCATGCGACAGATTATGGGTTCTCGACACCGGCAAGTTTGAAGAACGACAGATCTGTCCTCCTCAATTACTATCATTCTCGCTGCGAACGAACAAGATCCTGAGCCGGTACAAATTCCCCAAGGAACAGTTCAAGGACGATTCCCTGTTCGTGACACTCGCGGTCGACGTCCGCCACAGCGAGAAATGCCGCGACACCTTCGTCTACGTCGCCGATGTGACTGGATACGCATTGCTCGTCTACGATCATCACAATTCCCACTCATGGAGGATCACTAACAATCTGTTTTATCCTTATCCGCCCCACGGAACGTTTCACATCAAGGGGGATACGTTTGATTTAATGGACGGCATTCTGGGACTCGCGTTGAGTCCCATAAAACAGGATGGCGACAGAATCTTATATTTCCACTCCTTGGCTAGCACAGTCGAAAGTTGGGTACCCACTTCTATCATCAGGTGAGAAAAAATACGAATAATCATGCTTATTTAATCGTAGAAAAATTAATACGCTACACGATTTCTCTTTAAAAAATATATGTGTCAATAAAATATATTTTATGCTCAAAGTTTATTATGTATTTATTTAAAAAATTAAAATATAATTATATTTGGATTTATATAATATCTTTCGTATTTTTCTAAGTAAAATTTTATATATAAATTAATTTTTTTAGATATGTTTTATGTGATTTAAACGTTTTATAATATATTTGTCTTGTCTCTTAAAGTATTTCGTTATAATTGGACATTTGCTATTATTTAGAAACTATAGCCTCTTTGAAGAACACTCCGACTCTGCACCAAGGTCATTCCGTCCATTCGCTATGGAAAGATCATCGCAATCGGCCGCTCAAGGCATGGATCAGAATGGAATTCTTTTCTTCGGTCTTCTATCAGATTTAGCTATCGGATGTTGGAACAGTATAACTTATCCCGAATATGGTAGTACCAATACCGAAATCGTTGTCGTCAATCCCGACACTTTGCAATTTCCGTCTGGACTAAAGGTATAATAATCACGAAATTCTTCCACTACATAAACATACACTTTTATATTTTTTTTTACTCCGCATTTTTTATACCTATATTAAATAGAAAATTATATACACGATTATTATAATAAAAAAATAATCATTTTCCGCTAAATTCAAATTATATTCTTGATTATTTACGATTCTAGAACGATTTATCTATATGTTAACGAGCAATCAACGCCGTAATCAATTTCATTGCAGATCATCACCGCAAAAAACGGCCGCCAGGAGTTATGGGTGCTCACGTCGTCGTTCCAGAAGTTCATGACCGCGACTATGAATGCGAACGAGACCAACTTTCGGATACAGGCTGGCTACGTCGACGAGCTGATCCGCGGCACCAAGTGTAACGGTGGTTTTGACCGCAATCGCGCTTACGAGACGTTGGGCAAATGAAGATTGTGGCACCGCGGGGAGTTCGACGACTCGCGTTCTCACGCGGTGGCACCATCCATCCGCTGGCATAAGTATCCCAATTTCTTCGCGAACTATCACCATCACCATCCACCACCGCCATCGTATCAATCTCCGAGATTGTTCACTAGACCATTCTTCTCTTCCTGGATCGCGAAATCGATCCATCCTCGACCTCAAGTCGAGTACACCGTCATCATCGATTACGATTGAAGAATGCGCGACACTACATGTACCTATGACATCTCGACGAAGAACGAAGACAAACCCGCCTTTATAAAAGTTCTGTAGTTTTTTTTTTGCGGAGCTTATTATCAGCTCGAAAAGCCATCAAACTTTTACTGCTCGTGGTGCCAATTAAGTTTCACTGCTTATCCTGTTATTTATCCCGGTATGTATTTATTGGGAATAACCACCATCACCGGGATTACCGTTCCTAAACATTCTCTTATTTTTATTAAAAATAGTGGACAGTTAGTATCAAACTGTGTCAAGTGACAAGTGTGTTTTTAACTTCTCATATTGCATATAACATTTTGCATAATCCAGTGTAATAAATAAATTACTAGATAAGAAGAAATATTTATTAATCACACTTATTACGTAATAAGAATAATAAAATAAAGCTAATCGTACAAAAACATATGTGACTGTACGTTGAAGCTTCGTATTTAATAATTATAATTATTATAGCAAATAAAAATTTATTTTGAATTATTTTATTTATTTTTCCTTAAAAAATTAATATTCTAGGTGATATCCTAAATAAATATTTATTTTAAGTAAAATAATGTATTTTATCTAGAATATATTTCAGTCTTGTTATACTTTTGAAAACATTTTTATTTTTAGATTATAAAATATAAAAAGAAAAGTTTTTAGTTTAAAAAAATATATTAAAACGAATGGTTGAAATTAAATTTATAATCATGACTTATTATTTAAGTTTAATATCGTAATGGAAAGATAAGAAAGTTTGCGCGTCAAAAAAATCAGCTGTAAAAATTCCAGCGAATGTTATAATGACAACTGTACAAACGTAAGTGGAATGAGAAAACAAAGATGAAAAAATTCTTCCATGTAAAATTTCGATAATATAAGAGCTAAACAAATGATTTTTAAAGAACGAGATTACTATAATAATTCTTTCTTTTAAAGAAAGAAATTATTATTTCACGCATCTTTTAAAAATATAATATAATTAATTTTATATACAATTCTTATCAAAACACATTTTTCATGATAAAGTGATCATTTATTTTGCCGAGTCAATTCGAAAGGCAGGAATATTGACTTATTATATCGTTTTGCTTAGAGAAATATATCTATATTGCTCGAAGACCTCATTAATATTATTTAAATGTAGTAGTTAGTAAAACCATCGACGTGGAAACATGAAACGTGCATTAAACGGTAGCGAGTGAAGTGTAGTTTTGCAATGCGATTGATATTTGCTCGTGGAGAAGAAAATAAGTTAATTGTATTTATATGACAGTTGCATTAAACATGATAATGGCGTAATATGAGCCGATGACCGAAAGAGAATGTAGTTTCTTAAAAGTCAAGATTAAATATTTGATGCTGCAATGCTAACGTGTATTCGTAGTTTGCTCAAACTTCAAGCATCACTTCATACGTAGACTGTAAATACTGCATGATTAATGTAAAATATCCTCTTATAATCGTATAATAAGTAAATATTTTTATAAGAAAGAACAATTTATATCGTTTATATCCTGCTTGATTTGTTATGAGGAAGTCTTGATGCTCTCTCAACAAAAATATTCATACAGGTGTGATTGCATTTCGCTCATTGTACACCCTGCTTTTATAAATCCGTCGTGGACTTAGCAATCCAGTTTCATTAATACTCAGTTCGTTAAAAAGTGATTGGAACTAGTTTAGGGAACTAGTTTTTATCGAATAGAATGCAAATCCTGAATACATTATTAATACTAATAATGTAACAAGACACAACACCATTTATCGTGCAAGGTTTAATTAATTTTGTGTGTGTGGGTGTGTGTGTGTGAGATTGCTTACACACAGAAAAATACATACTATATACAAGTAAATATAACTGTTACTTAAAAGAAGTAAATTAAACTGAGTAATCATTTTACTTAGCAATAGAATAATATTTTTCTGTGTGTATAACTTTTTAAAAGATACGTGTTTCTGATGGTGAGTATGAACTAGAAAGAGAACTGATGTCTTGAACATGCAATTGCTATTATTATTATGTATTGGCAACATTTATATAAATGTCGCCGCGTACCAAGAGCACTTTCGAACAATATACCAATGGAGATACTTCGACTACAAGTGGAAAAACGCGAATCACAAAGCGGCGGCGATTGCCACGGGCGATTACAACTACACGCAATGCGTGATCATCGACGCCGACTACTCGAAAGGTGACAGTCGATATAAATTATTTATGCTTCGTTATTATTTGCAAAGATATATATTCGACAAGTCGAATAGTCGAAGGATAAATAATTTATATCGACTATCACCTTTATATAATAATTATTTTATATATCTCTTATTTTTTTTATATATATCTCTTACTTTTTTTTATATATCTCTTATTTTTTTAACAGATGGAAGAGTATTCGTGACTATTATAAGAAATAATGGAGTTCCATCGAGTTTAAATGTAGTTAGTAAACACAAAGGCCCAGGTGGTCCTCTCCTACAACCATATCCTGATTGGACATGGACCAAAAGAGGTGATTGCAACGGTATCACTAACGCATTCAGAATTGCGGTAAATTTATTTTGTGTTGAATTTTTTATTTTATTATTTTTTTTTAAATTACACATTTTTTTATATTTTTTATATATTGTGTTTTAATATTGAAATGTTTTGATTACTTGAAAGAATATTTTTTTTTTTACATTTCAGTTTTTCTTACAATATATACTGAATTTGTATTTATTGTACCTTCTACATATATTTTGCAGTCATTAATTTTTTTTGGCCTTATTATTACCGAGTTATATCGTGACAATTCTTTTTTCTAGATCGATCGTTGCAATAGATTATGGGTTTTGGATAGTGGTACAATCGGAAAAGAAGTAGTATGTCCAGCACAACTTCTTGTTTTCAATCTCGCTACAAATAAATTAATTAAAAGAGTAAAGATAGCAAATAATCTCTCGCAAAATTTCAAGACAAAAATAGGTCTATTGGTTACAATTGTTCTCGAGACATACGGGCCTCGTTGCTCGCATACAACTGTAAGTGTGCGCGAAATAATTCAAATTACTTTGCTATTATAAAACTCTATAAATTTCAAATTAAAATAAGTAGCGTACAAATAACTCGTATTTGTAATCTTATTTTAAAATTATAGAATTATACAATTTTTGATATATAAATAAAAACAATTTTTAAATATTTATTATTTCGTTAACGAAAGCGTTCAGATATTTTTACATTTCCTGGTACTTATTAAAATTTTGATCTCCTACACTAGGTGTACATGGCAGACACCACAGGATACGGACTCGTAATCTACGATAGTGACATTGATAAGATCTGGCGACTCGAATCTGAAATATTCCTTCCGGATCCTACTTTCGCGAATTACACCATTGGGGGTGAATGTTTTCAACTGCAAAACGGTATCCTAGGAATGGCGAAACATCCGTACGCGTCCGTTCTCTATTTCAGACCCATGTCATCACGGAACATAAATAGCGCAAGGACCACCGATTTAAAGAAGTCGCGATACGGTGCTAAAGTACACTACTATACGATACGAGACGTTTTTCCGAGCCAGGCAACAGCCATGGCTATTTCTTCGAACGGTGTCTTGTTCTTCGGTCTACCCACGGAATTGTCCGTGGCATGTTGGAACACTTGCAAGCCGTTCAACAAAAACAATTTGGTCTCTCAATCTAATTTATCTAAAATCTTATCTGAAACTGATTTATATATTTATATACACGCGGATCCTAAGTTAAAATACGATTCACGTATTTCTTCTGCACTCATAGCTTCTATGATTAACGAACATATTATAATTTCAAATTTTTAATTAAATTTCTTTTTTTAACTTATACCTATTTCGATTTTATTACTTATACTAAATTTTCGACAAAACTTTGTTTTTTTTTAAATATGTTATTTATATCACGACTTATATAAAATTCCAATTTTTAAGTAAATCTTTCGGTATTTCTTCGCGGACATTTACGGTTAAAAAAGATATTTGACCGTGTAAAAAAAATCAAGATATTTCACTTTGGATTGCAGGGTATCGCCGGCTACGATCCTGACAGATTTCAGTTTGCCAGTGATATCAAAATAATACCGGAAGATATTACCGGCGCAAGCGAGGAGCTTTGGGTAGTGACTAATCGTTTTCAGAAGGTCGTGGCCGGTACATTAAATTTCACGGAGGTCAACTTCCGAATTATGAAGGCGGATGTGATGCAATTGACAGATGGTACTGTATGTGCGTTACCTTGACGATCACAGTGAAGATTATTTTAATAATACTTAAATAATTTATAATCTTGCTCGATTCGCGTTGCTTACAGCATTATTTGAACAATATTTTAGTGACGCACGACATACAAATTTTGAGTGATATTAATTGTTACTTTTGGGACTTTACTTTGATTTAACTTTTTAATTACTGTAATTGATATTGATACGATTTAATAAGTAACGATTTTACATTTTTATATGCGTTATACAAATTTTGTTATAATATTAATATAGGATTTAAGTATATTAGCGCAATGTGATTAGAAATGTTTACCAATTTTTAATATTAATACACTATTTCAATATTATAATTTTATTTTCTTCATCTCTATTTATTAGTAATTATTTTACTAACCGTAAAAAAAAATAAATTTTTTAATCGAGTTACTTTTTACTTAGAGATATTATACAGGGTGTGTCGAAAGTCTGGATGCACTCAAATATCTCGTAAACATTGCATTTTAGAGAAAAATATTTCAGACAAAAGTTGTAAGGCTTAAAAAGACACAATCAACGGTAATAGCTGTTTGACCTTGAAACTTTTGTCTGAAATATTTTTCTCTAAAATGCAATGTTTACGAGATATTTGAGTGTATCCAGACTTTCAACACACTCTGTATGTTTCTGCTGGCTACAAAATTAAGACGAATAAATAGATGTGTTTTATGATAACATCTGATCCGGAACAGCCAAATACAAGTCCTTTTTTCTAGAGAATAGCGTCTCAGACGCGATAATAAGCAACTCTTATTGGTTTCAATTTAATTAACGACCGCTGATATGCCATAAGTCGCTAATTGCAAGGTACGAGGTGGCCAAAAGCATCGCGCCGGAAACACGAAGGGCGGATCGTTGGAAAGGATCGTCGATCGATCTTCCCAACGCTCGCGAGTCCTTTTTTTTCGAGACGCGACTCTTACTGATCTTTCCCGGCTCTTCTTTACGACGACGTTTTTATCGACGAGTCTTTGAAAAGGACGAAACTCGCTTGTTCCGATGCGCTCTCGAGTTTATCGCGACTAATAATTGGAATCGAGAGATAACAGAGATCAACCATGAATTACGCCAACGC